GTACTGAGTGCCTGTTCTTGTGCTGCCATGATTAGTGCCTCTGTGCTGTTCTTCAGTCCAGCATTTTCCAGCCACTGGTAGGATTTTTTGATATCAGCCACTTCTTCTATTTGTCTGTGGTATACGCCGTGCAGCGGCTTGTCCCTCCATGATGGTTCTCCTTCCTCTTTCTTGTCCTCACTTTCGGTTTTCTCCTGCCTGAGGTATTCACCAAGCCATTTGTCTTTGGGGGCCATCTTCCTGATGTACTCCTGGATCTTAGTTGTTTCATCCTGGACAGTGGTCTTGACACTCACTAGCCCTCGGCTTCCCTCGCTACGCTTGGTATACAGCCTCAGGGTGCTGGATCTGGGGTGAAATCCTCCATGCATTGTGAGGAGCTTTTTCGTCTTGATGTCAGTAGCCTCTATCTCATATCTCCTCTAATGAGGATATATATATATTTATAAGGGATGGAACGGTTTATGAAAACCGTCCGAACCGTTCGGTTCGACTGTCTCGGTTCGGTTCGCGTGTGTTGCGTTCGGTTCATGCGCTGCTCCTTTTTCTCATAGGCGAAGCGTTTACACTCCAGAGCAGAAGGTGGTGGTACTGCGACCAAAGCCAACCACCAGTAGTAAACAAGAAGAAGAAGAAGCGAACCAGCGTAGCCGGGTGTAGCAGAAAAAAATCTGTGGCAAATGGGAAAGAACAGGAGTTGGAAGACGCGCCAGCAGCACTTTATAGGTCTGCTGTATGGAACCACTTCGCATTTAGAGTGACCTACGATGATGGCGGAAAGAAAGTTGTGGATAAAAGTGCAACAGTGTGCAAGCATTGTGCAACACGTTTTGTTTATGCTAACAGCAACATGACCAACATGTCATGCTAACCCCGAAATCCCACATACTCCATCAGCGCTCTGCCCCGCTGCGCTCCAGACCGGCTGCTCAAAGCAAAGCCTACAGCCTCCGCTGTGGCTCCCGTCCGCTGAGCTCTGAGTTCCTTGGAGATCGTAGAGAGCATGCGCGAGATGATTACATTCAAAGCAGCAAAACATCCGGAAATGATCCATGGTTTTTGCGGATCATTAAAAATAATTACAATTCATTACTTTTTTTTTTTTCTCATTAATTTCATTAATTTTTATGGGATTTTGGGGTAACAAACATATACCGAACCGAAAACCGTGACCACGAAACCGTGAACCAAACCGAACCGTGGATTTTGTGAACCGTTCCACCCCTAATATATATATATTTATAATCCATACCCTAACTTTCCTGTGTAATAGCCTCTTAAAATTACTTTGTGTTTGTATATACCATTTGTAATCCATACATGCATAGTTTATGTACACATGTGGATAAATATTTCTATCCTGTATAGCACTTCTGCATAGATGCATTTCGTTGCTTTGCACTTGTGACAATGTAATGTCAATAAAGTCGAATTCTATATTATTCTATGATTAACCAGGGTTCACAAAGTGCTGTAAATATTGTAGATAAAAATAGACCGGAAAAAGAGAGGTTAAAACAAAAATGTAGATACATTAAAAGAAAATAAAAGACTAAATGAAAATATAAATAAAGCCAATTTCTCAGGAAGAACAAAGCTGTTTTGCAAAAAGGTTTGTTTTTTCAGACCGTTTTTAAACTCCAAGGGAGATGAGGTTTGTAATATGTGATGACAGCCTATTCCATCTTCCATCTTCAGAAGCTTTCACCTCTAAGTTTTGTTAATTTTCTCACTTTAGGGAGCTGCTGGTGAGCAGACCTAAGGAAGCGGTCAGGTACATATGGTTTCAGGGAGCTCAGAGAGGTAAGGGTTACCAATCTATTGAAAAATGTAAAAGCAAATAAAAACACTTTAAAATGGATCCTGAAATGCACAGGTAACCCATAGAGTGACAATAAAACAGAGTGCTCAAACCTTCTTGTTCCAGTTAAGAGCCATTCTGCAGCATTTTGAATCTGCAGGCACCTGATAAATTTGTCACTAATAAATACTGTACGCTACAAAAATAATACGCTAGAATAATAGTCTGAGCATATATTACTGTTTTAAGCAACTAACTTGCTTTATTTTGGCTAACTGCCTCAGTGTCATGATCGGTTTAGGGATAAACCCACATGCAGAACACCACTGAGACTTGGTAAAAGGTTTAACAGAGTTTATTAGAGTTTTCACACAAACAAGACAAGATTCAGGTTCTGGTCCGGGCAGGATACTCTGGCGTCTGCAGAGACGGATAGTTGGTTAGCTGGGTATGCAGATAAGTTAAATGGGTTTTCAGATATTTCAGTGGATACCTTGAAGAGGTCCAGGTTTGTTCAGAGAGAGGGAACCGGTTGGGACCAGAGACTGTTGGTTCAGCAGAGTGCTTAGGCAGCAGCAGCGTCTTACTTCTGACTTCCAGTGAACAGACCTTGGTTGAAGTGATTAGCTCTTTCCCAAGAGCAGCAGGTGGATTCCAGAATGTAGTCTTCAGGTTTGGCTCTCTAGGGCAGGCAGGCAGATTCAGGTTAAGCTCATCCAGAGCTTCTCTCGAGAGACTGGTTTCCTAGGAGCGAGGAGACAGAGGCAATCAGAATAAGGTTTCTCTAGGAAGATAACTATTAATAAATTCATAGGCTCAGGTTCGCTAACCAAACTTGGCTAACACTGCGGCATCGAAGCAAGGTCTGGCAGCTGCTTATGAAGGCTGGTCTCCTGATGAGCTGATGAGCGTCAGCTGTGCTGGAGGGCTCCAGCCCAGGAGGATCCACAGCGCACTCTGCTGGAGAAGGTGGAGAATCTCCAGATCCCAACACTCAGATGGTAGGAGCTGGATTTCATTACTGGCCTAATTTGACCATCAGGTATCAGAAAACTGTGCCAAATTGGAAAGATTTACAGAGGAGGTTTCTAACGTATTACTTAAAACCATTACTTCTGTTTTTTGTCCATTAAGATGCAGAACATTTAGAGTCATCCATGCATTTATATCATGAAGGCATTTAAGCAAAAATATAGTAAGCAGTAAAATTGAGAAATTAAGGAATGATCTGAATTTCAGTTGTTTTCTGAAAAGAAAGCCAAATGGAAGTAGGTAAACAGAAAAAAGAAGAGGGCCGACCACTGAGCCCTGTGGGACACTATAACAAATAGAGGCAGATGATGATTCAGAAAAATCTAGTTTAAAGGAGAAAGATTTGTCTGCAACTTTTAACTCCTACTCACTGTTCTAACTAGGCTCAATTAATGAAGTAATCCATCTCTGCCATATACCAGAGAACTGATTTCCTTCTCTTCCAAACAGCTATTGGCTCTCAGACAACAGGTTGACTGGTGGTTTCCATGCTCTTCTCCTCGGGGCAGATCTTGATGATCTGTGCCCCTCCTACCAGGTGATTGTTGTTCCCACTGGGATGTAATTAACCACCTCTGGAACAAGCAGTTCTCCTTTACACCAGAATATGGCAGCAGTGATTCCACCGTGTGGACCGTTTTGTGGCATGGTGTGGAGACAATCCTCTGATCCTGAATGTCAACAAAACAAGGGAGGTGATTGTAGATTTCAGAAGACACAGCAACAAGCTGAATACTATTAACATTATGGGAGAAGAAGTGGAGGTGGTTGAGGAGTATAAATGCATTGGTGCTCACCTAGACAACAAACTAGACTGTAGACACAACTGTGACAACGACAATGCAAGTGAATTTTCACTGTCTCTACCTGCAGAAGGAGTTAATTCTGCAGGTCAATGACTAAATGCGTTGCACTGATGGGTTTCGGATAAAAAAGTTTTAACTAATCCATCTGTATGATTTGTATAGTCTGTGAAGTGCCTAGAGATGGAATATGTGTTGTTAATTGATGCTATATGAGTACATTTTGCTGAACTGAATCAAGAACAAGTTCAATAAAAAACATTTTTTTCTTACCAATTTAAACCATGATTAATTACATGTTTGCACACTGACTGACTGTTAAAGTGTGCTCTTGTCTAGTGTTATTCTTTTTACTCATTTTTATTTTAGTCTTTATTACACCAAAACTTGCAACTAACTTTACATTTGATCAGCCTGACTACACCATACACTCCATCATGGCATAGCCTGAACGATTGGATGATTACACCATTATCAGAAATTCCGTAATATGTTATGATCAAACACCCATATGATAAAAATTGCCCCCCCCCCCCCCCCCATGATAGGAAACCAAAGAGCTCTGACAAAATATGTCATAACTGTTAGATTGTTGCCAGATGTTGCAGACCTGAAGATCTCCTTTACTGACAATCCTTCCTCCAACTACAGTTAGACTTTGCAACCATCATTGCTCAAAGCAAACTTTCAATTAATCAGTTGGTGTTTTATCAGACAAAAACTGACAATTAGCTCACCATTGTGTTATTTTTATGATGTAATATCCTGTATGGTACGCCATCATTCTGATTTTGCAAATTTACAAAACAAATGTCAGTGTCTCTTAACTTTTTACAAATATAACTGGATATATTACAATATTTTCAAGCGTGTCCTATTTCACTTAGATGCATCTGGCATACACTAAATAGAAAGGTCGGTTTTATATCCGTTTTCTTTTTCAAACTTCTCCTTTCGTGTGTAGCAGCATTTTGTGTTTTTTCCACCTCTTAGGGGTGAGTCCAAAAAACTTGTTCTGCATCACAGATCTAGAATCTGCAGGTGCAGCGAGCTTATATTTTTTCAATGTCAAACACGAAAACAAAGGCATTTTTCAGCCACTAGTGGATTTATAACGGAGGTAAAAACACTGCTGGTCGATAGGGTCGAATAAAAAAAAAATGACTTTTTTATTAAAAACCGCCCCTTCTATGTTTGTCTAAACGCCACGTACAGTTTGGCTCAACTCAGCTTAGGTCACCGTTAGAGATCGAGACCCGTTTGATTGGCAGCCGCACCATCCAATCAGGGTCCAACGCGACAGTTTTACGAAGAACTTGGACTTTCTCGGCCCAATGGAAGCAGACTGGGGGCGGGGCGTTGCCATGGTGAACGAGAGCTCTTCTGTTTAGGTTGTGGCTACCTGAGGCTTGTATTGGTGGACAGATGACGGCCGAGAACAAGCTCCGATGAACCTGAAGCTCTGAGAGGAACACGAAGGAGGAGAAGAAGGTCCTAATTTCATATATAAGGTCTTTTATCAGTTAAACATACGACTTGTGGTTTATCTTTTCTACATTTTGTTGATAAAAATTAGCATTTATCTTTTCTACATGTTTCTAACCTGTTAATCTACCATTATTTTATGTGTTTGCTGGTTTAATTGTTCGAGATAATCTTCTGTCTTTAATCATGTGTGTTAGTCGGTCTGGTGGCGTTTGTTTTAAACACCAACTCTAACTTGGACAAACAATTAGCTTTTTCTTAGTAGCAATCATAAGGACATGTAGGCATGAGATGTTTTCTTCTGAGCACAGTGGTTTGCAAATGTGTTCACACACTTTGAACATTTTATTTTCTCCCATCACACATTTTACTGTGATTAGAATGGGACAGAAAAATCGCACATTATTTTCAGAATTATTTTATAAAGTTCTGCATCCATTTGTGTTTTCATCTTCAGTTGGGAGAAACTCCACCTTTCAATGGATTTATAACTCTGGCTATTTATTTATTTATCTATTTATTTTGAGGGGGTGTTCCTTCTCTGAGACCTTTTTACATTTTCTTGTAGCCAAATAGCTCAAGCTTGGGCTGGATGGAGAGGGTTTGAGAAGAGTGATTGAGCTTTGATATGGATTCCTAAGTTGATTTTGACTTGATTATCTTAACACACATATTTCTTTCTGCCTAAATGATTCCAGTGTATTTCTGGCTGTATATGTATTTCAAACTGGTACATGAGGCTCTAGGCCTCTCAAGTATTTTGCAGAATCTAACAGTTTTTTTTCTCCCCCTGGGATTCTCCCATATTTAGCTTCATCCATCCCCACATCAGTACCGTCTCAGGCCTGATGCTTATCATTATGGTGTATTCCAAGTTGGAATACTTTGTTAGTTGTCATTGATAAAGAGCTAAAACTGCATTTTGTTCTTGTGGTCTGCTCCTTATATTACTATGATTTAAAGTGGTTGTGTTTTCATTGGAAAATGGGTTTAATCTTTCCCATTAACGCCCGATTTGAGCACATCTAATAGTTTCTGTCTCTTTAGACTAATTATGTGACTCCTGAATGGATCTTCGGTCATGTTATTTCATGATGGGGTTTCAAAATAAAGTGGGCTGGAAATAAATAAAGTTCTCTCTTGAAATATTCAGAAAACTCTGCATTATTTTCTTCCTACTTCATAGTAATGTGATAGCTTGGATAATCCATCACATTAAATCCCAATAAATGTAAGCTTTGTAATGAGACCAAAGTGGACTGTATGTCATGGAATATTTTTGCAGGCACTGAACAAAAAGAGATACCAAACTATAACTTGTGTGTTCTGTGTTTTTCATAGATGGTGAGCAGTAAAGCCTTGGCCCGCTGCGGGCTGGTGCTGCTCAGTTTGTGGTTGTGTATCCACTCGGTACCTATCAGTGTGGAGCAGGCCAAGGACAAGCCAGAGGTGGAGGAGTTGGAGCCACCCCAAAGTGCTGTGAGTCAGCAGAATTTATGGCAAATGCTAGGATATTCTTTTTAATAAGAGGTTTTACACCTCACACATAAATACTGTCTGGGTTTGCAGTGTTAAACACATGCAAATTACTCTTAACCAGAGGAAAAAGCCCACAGAAAAACAAACAGCCTCAGAAAAAAAGCTTTTAACAGTCATTAGTCAGCGGTAAATGACCTAGAAGGTATTTTAGTAATGGCCCTTTTTAGCATCTGGCTCTTCTGTTTGTCAGGACACCGGCCTGCACTATGACCGCTACCTCAGGGAAGTCATAGAGTACCTTGAAAAAGACCCCCACTTTAGAGAAAAGCTGAAGAACGCCAACATGGATGACATCAAGGTGCACACGAATTTGCAAAAAGCCCACTATTTAGCTACCGATTTGTTTGCACTTGCTCTTCAATTTCAACTCTTCCCTGTTTGCAGCAAGGGAAGCTTTCCAAGGAGTTGGACTTTGTTCAACACAACTTTCGAACTAAGCTGGACGAGCTGAAGAGGGAGGAGATGAACAGGCTGCGGATGCTGATCAAAGCCAAACACGACCTCCTCCAGGAGGGGAATGGTGAGTTCATGCTGTCAGTTAATGCTGCGTCACTACCACATGTGGGCTTCTTAGAATTACACAACATGTTCCGTAATACAAGTCAGAGGTTTGTTCATTTTAACCGGTCGCAACTCGAACAACCGCAGTGTTTTATAGTCTTGAATGTGACAGTTGCAAAACAAGGCAGTTGAATACTTTAGCAAGACTCTGGTGGTAATCTGGGTTTAGCAGAAAAAAAAACATTATTATAAACCAAAGTAAGATTAAAGATCAGAAATACGGGGTCATAGTTCACAACTTAAAACACCCAAACTAGCTCAGTAGTCATTCTTATTTGACTTTGCCTTTTTTCTCTTCTGTCCAGGAAACACTCTGGACCATCAGGCCCTGCTGAAGCAGTTTGAGCACCTCAACCACATGAACCCACACACTTTTGAGGTGGAGGACCTGGATCGCCTTATCCAGTCGGTACGCATAGCATAACCCTAAAACAAAGGACTTTGAGCACATCTTACACTTAGAGCCTCACTTAGTCTGTTGTTTTTTAATGAAAATGTTTGTGCTGGTCCGTGTACAGCCAGAGTCCTAGGAGTTCAAAATGAAAGTATTATAGGAGTGTCAGACAATTAGAAATGCTCTGTCTTTTACTTTAAGATGTTTTATATTCAGAGATGGTAGACATTTGAAAAGCCAGAGCTTTGGTTTTCCTGTATGCTCATAATGCTGAGGAAGTAGCCTCATAGCTAACAGTTGAAGGCTGAGCAGCTGAGCAAAAGGCAAATTATAGATTGAAAAGCCTTTAAAAAAAGCGATGGGTTGAGATTTTTACATATTTGCTACATTGTTTTGTTTTTATGTCTCAGCAACCAGGGTTTGTGTTGCCAAGGTCTTTATTTTTTATCAGGATAGTAGTAGTTCAGTGGTAAAAAGCTGCCTCTGTTTACAGATTAGAGGTTGGTTAATCTTCCACTTTGAGATAATCCAAATACTTTTTCCCTGATTTTTATTTGGGAAACAAAGAATCTAAGCATCAGCTTTCAAGTTTTCCAAAGAATTTAGGTCCTCTTACAAATATCTATACTTTATCCAAACTATTCCTGTATTACAGCAGGATCGTTATCCTAGTAGTAGTTGAACCTTTGTCCTAGATCAGGGGTCGGCAACCCAAACTGCTCAAAGAGCCTGGAATGGCAAAAAATATAAAAGTCTTATATAAACCTTGTATGGCAACACAGGCTTATTAGCCCACTATAAAAAAGGACTGCACTGACCTAAATATATAATAAGCATTCATATGTTGCAGGCTATGACCACTGATCACTGTTTACATTTGTTGTTTAAATTTATTTTATTTATTATACAAATGTTTCCAGCATTGGAAAACATGATGAATGTTTCTTTGACCTCCTGCACACCATATTTAGATAAACAAACCAAAAAAAAAAAGAAACATTTATATATAAAAATATGAAAAAATAAAAATAAATCATACATTTTTTAAAAAGCTCCAGGAAGCCGCAAGGGGGCGCTAAAGAGCTGCATGCGACTCCAGAGCCAGGGGTTGCCGACCCCTGCCCTAGATTCAAAGTTTAATGACCTTTGCTTCCAGGATTGAGCTATTTTTTTAGCAGTTTTCATCTTCTAATTAACTCTGAGCAGGTTTCTGTTTCATGCCCACAGCATCATGATGCCACTACCTTGTGCCATTTCGGGGGGGATTTGTTCAGAGTAGTGTGCAGTGTTTGCTTCTAACACTCGTGGAGTTTTGCATATAGACTAGAAAGTTTAGTCCCAATGTCGTTTCTCAGTCTCTTGCACCTTTTTTAGGTGTTTTCTGTGTTCCTGATATGGCCAGTGACAAACCGCAAACAGAGGTGTCAAGTAACATACACATACTTTGTTACCTTACTTGAGTTTAAATTTTGATTTTCTAAACTTTACTAGAGTGAATATTTTTTAGACAACTTTTTACTTCTACTCTTCATTTTTTTTTTCTTTTTTTTGGCAATTGTCCCTTCTTTGTACTCATTACATTTTAAAAATAGACTTGTTTTGTTTCATTTAAGCTAATTGTCATTATGGCCTGTTGGTTTCATCCAGACTCAGTACTGCACCACCTTGCTGTTCACCACATACAAAAATAAGTAGTTTTTTAAGATGATGCAAAGTAAAATTTGACACTGTTACCATTAGTTATAAAACTAAGAATATTAAGTATCAGGAAGTTATCATCCCAAACTTTAGAATAATGTTCCTTTATTAACTTAATGAGGTAACAATAAAAGTTTTAAAGCTTCTGTCCTTAAAATTTTTTCCAGGATTGCTTTTATACTTTAAGTAATTTTAAAAATGGTACTTTTACATTTTTACTTGAGTAAAAAGATTAAGTTGATACTCTTAACGTCTATAAAAGTGTTTTTAAACAGTAGGATTTATACTTCTACCTGACATCTGACCGCTAATAGCTCTGATGACTTTGTTTTAAGATTGCTCCAAAAATGTCAGATGTGCTGGCTACCCGATGCATCCGGTCTGTTCGTCTCCAGTTAACACCCTTTTTAGATTTGCAGACTTTCCCCCCACTTGTAATTAAGATCTTATTTATTTAGCTTTACACCTACAGCTGACAAATTTTGTCCTGGGAAGAAGTAAACACGCTTTTCTTTTCCAATATTTAAGGCAACCAAGGATCTGGAAAACTATGATAAGGAACGCCACGACGAGTTCAAGAGGTACGAGATAATGAAGGAGCATGAGAGGAGGGAGCGCCTGAAAACGATGAATGAGGAGGATCGGAGGAAGGAGGAGCAGCATTATGAGGAGTTAAAGAAGAAACATGCCAACCATCCCAAAGTTAACCACCCTGTAAGATGGCATTTGTGTCTTTTTAAGGTGGCTGAGTGTGAGAATGTGGTAAAGAGTGTTTTAATTTCAGCTCAAATGTAATCTGGGTAAAGAAGGCCTACCAAGTCAATATCTTTATTTCTAATTATTTTATCATCTTAAAGGTATAGCAGAGGATGTTCTTTTTCTGAGTGGATCATTAAAATAAGTGGTCCCCTTAATTTTCAAACATTCTGGTGATATTTTTACGTAAGGCTGTCCTACAGTACATGCTCGTCGTTAGAGTCTGACATGGTGGAAACATTTTAAATCTTCTTTTGGAAAGTAAGGTTTTATGAGTGATGCAAACAGCAACTTTTAAACAGAGCGTGCATGAGGAGAAATGGGCATTCTTGCTCTTGCACGCTTTTATTTGGCGTTCCCCTTTCGGTAGCGGGTACAGGGTTGTGCATCCAGTCATCCAGGTCATTGTCATTCCAAGAAAGTAAAAAACAATCTACTGAACTTTGTTTCCAAGAAGACGTTTCGCTTCCCATCCAGGAAGCTTTTTCAATTAAAAAAATTTCAGAAATAGCATTTGGTTCCCTCAGGAACTCAAGCCCTCAGAGGGGGTGGACTCGGGTTTCAGCTTTCAAAAAACTTACAATGCAGTGATGCAGTTGATTTCTTCCCGCACAGTTGATATCTTCCCCCCACCCCCATAGGGGGGAACAGAACACCTCACCTGTTCAGCCAGGCCAACAATTTCCTCTAAGGACTCCCCTTTCAGAGACATAGACAGGTATTGGTATTGTAGGCTAACAAAGAAGCTAAAGGACCCCCATTCTTAAGGGGCGAACCCAATGGCGTAACGACACAACAATAGGCCCGTGAGCAACATTACCTGGGTAAGCCCCATGTGAAGTACAACACCTCAACACTACCTCTTTTTGGTATCCATCATCGCTAACACATTGTACATAACGTTTATGGTTTTAATCAATGCTCTGATTACCCATAATTCCAAGTCGTATTGTAAAAAATAAAATACTCAAATACATTGTTCTTTTAAGATATTTTTTGCGGTTTGAAACATATTATATGAGTGTTTATTTTTTTCACCAACTGTCTAATGAACTATACGCAGTTATTAACATAGTAATTAAAAGTACCACTGTCTGCTTTACTATTGGTGTCGTGTTTAAACGGCTCACCATCATGTGGAAATCTTGAATGTGTTCTGGTATAAATATGGTCCAGTCAGTCATTGTAGTATCAGGTGGGTTTAAGAAGAATTTTTCGCCCCACTACATCTGCTAAGAGACGTCCTAGACCACAATTTTGTAGGGGTCCTACCAGGTGTCAGTGATGGGGCCCCTAAGAGGTCGGGGGGCCCTAAGCAACTGCATACTCTGCTTACCGATAGTTACGACATTGGGCGGACCCGTTCCTCCGGTTCAATTTGCATGTTTTCCAAGCCATAACAAGACTTTGTTTTTGGTCCACTCTATAAAGCTTTGAACATTTGTTTGTTTTCTTGAACTAACCAGCTTATAAGTTAATGATAGCATTATCTATTCGAAAACCGGTTTTTAAGCATGTTTAGGATCCTTGTCCCATCTCAACACCTATCCGTGTCCAAATTTTAACCGTCTAGTTGTTGGTTTGAGGTGAAGTTGAAGAGACTGGGGGTACGAGCAGTGCTGGAAGATTCCCGTCATGATGCTGCCGCCATCTTGCTTGTCAGGTGTTTATATGTTGTGTGCCTTGATCATTAGTGGTTCCTGGGTTGTCTTTGACCAGTCAAATAACCCCCCCCCCTATGTGATAGGGTTACTCTTCAGGCCAGGTGGAGAGAATCTGGCACACATTTTGGTATCCTAACAGAAGAATTTTCTAAAACGGTTCAGGCTTGGATGAAGCAGGCTCACATTAAGCCTCTGGAATGGCCCTGACCTTCATAGAGAAATTATGCTTGAAGACAAAATCTGTGGCTGGAAATCATTCTTTTTTTTTTTTTAAGATCAGAACTTGTTGAGGGTCTCTGCCACCTGCTACACGCCATTAACCGATAAATGGAGATTTATGCGCATTTTAATGCATTTTTAGGTATACATTTTGGACACCATGCCAAGTTGAGAAAAAGGAACAAAAAAGATCAACTATTTGTTTGAAAATCCTTCCACCATGGAGAAAGACTAACTCCAACCAACCACTACAAGCTGTCTGTAAATCGCAGTGATGCCATATATAAACGTCAGATTGATACTGTACATTAATTTCCTATTTACGCTTAATGTTTGTGTTCAGGGCAGTGAGGACCAGCTGAAAGAGGTGTGGCAGGAAGCAGACGGTTTGGACCCAGAAGACTTTGAGCCTAAAACTTTCTTCAAAATGCATGGTAACCACAGATCCACAGCGTAGTCCAGCACACCACAGTATTGCAACAACAGCTGTAATTTCCTTGAACCTCCAAACATCTAACTGTAGAAATTCAACAGTGACTTAAAGGGGAACGCCGTTTTTTTTTTTTTTTTACATTGGCCCCTTGATTTTAGGTTATTACATCATGTTCTACTCACCCATATTAGTTTTGTGTCATTTGGAGCTGTTCTGAAGAAATTCGGTTTTGTAATCCAAGTAAAGTCTTCCTATGGGCAACGGTTTGAAGGCACAAACTTAACTTTTCATAATTAATTCTTTATGGTACCCCAGCGTTCATAACATGTAGGCAAATCACTGTCCCCCAGACACCCGTGGTTATATTTTTTATATTTATATTTTTTAAAAACAAAGTGGCGTGTGTACGATATCATCCACTCGCGCCGGCTACCATTGATTCATCCTGTCCGCTGAACTGCTGCTAGTTTTACTTACATGCCTGGAAGATGTCTAGTGCTACTACCACAGATGATCTCGCTCTCAAAACGCAATTAAACGATTCAGATTAGCTACCCGGATGAATAGAAGGGGTAGAGCGTAGCCGCCTGTGGCCTGGGCTGCCTGTCACAACTCCAGTCCGGCGCGCGGATGACGTCATACACACTCCGCTTTGGTTTTAAAAACTATAACATAAAAAAATATAACCGCGGATGTCTGGGGGACAGTGATTCGCCTACATGTTTTGAATGCTGGCGTACCATAAAGAATAAATTATGAACAGTTTAGTTTGTGCCTTCAACTCGTTTCCCATAGGAAGACATTACTTGGATATTTCAAAACTGAATATATAATATCTAATATATATAATACGTAAAATCAAGGGGCCAATGTAAAATTTGCATCTTTGAATACCGACTTATGCTGAAGATCTTTGTTTTAGACAGCAATGGAGACGGATTCCTGGACGAAAGTGAACTGGAAGCTCTCTTCACAAAAGAGGTACTTCTGTGACATCAGGGGACAATATCGAAAACAAAGAAGCCTTTGTAACACCTGTATTTCTGCAGCTGGAGAAGGTGTACAATCCTGCGAACGAGGAGGACGACATGGTGGAGATGGAGGAGGAGAGGCTGAGGATGAGGGAGCATGTGATGAATGAGGTCAGGATGGAGTCTCTCTAGCAATGAAGCCCTGATTAGCTTTGATTAATGACCTGTATGTAGGTCATGGCTGGATCTCAGCACAAATGTTTCATTTAACAGTTTTAAATTAAACAAAAGCATTAGTTTACATTAGGTACCGACTATTAAAGTATGTGTGCAAACCACCAGGTGAACTCTCAATGTGGAAACTGTTCTTTTTATAAATGCAAAATATTAAAGAAAACAAGGTTTGATCTTAACACAAAGATTGTGGATAAAAGCTGCTTTTTGTGCTGATTGTCAGGTGGACACCAACAAGGACAGGCTTGTGTCCCTGAATGAGTTCCTGGCAGCAACCCAGAAGGAGGAATTCCACGAAAAAGAGGAGTGGGAGGTAGGATTACCGAGCCTCTTATCACCTCTCTATTTTAATGCTTTCACTACACCATAGTTCAGATTGGTTTACTACATGCAGTAATCTTGCTAACAGTGAGGGTAGCCTTGTACAGAGGAATGGATAATGGCTGAGGAGAATCATTAATAAACAGTATGAATGTTTTTGATTTAATCTGTTTTTTTTTTCAAATAGTTTGTAATAACATGCATCCAAAGCCTGTGAAGTAAAGCAGGCCCACAGTATCATGGATCCTCCACTGCTCTAAAGGTTATGAGGCGCTTCCCTGTTTTACATTCATAACCACTGTAAGCAATTATGCTCCTCTACTCGTCTCAAATAGAGACTTTATAAATTTGATTTTTAAGGAGTTATATTCTGGTATTTTACTGATACAGTCTGAAGTTGTCTTTAAATTCACATTTGATTAATTTTAGGTGAAAAAAAAAAAAGATCAAATGCTCATTCTGACCCCGTTTTCTGGCACTACTTTTTTTTTCTTAAGAGGTTAGGCACAAGAATTTGACTTGTATCTTAAGTTTTTCAAGCAGCAAAACTTGGTAACTGCCTAAAGGTGAGTCACTAGTTGTTGGAATCGAAACAACACTGGCAAATTTGAGCACCCTTCCATGAGGACCAAAATGACGCTCTGTGGGAAGAACGCCCTTTTAGGATTTTTCCAGAGAAAAATCCAAAAAAAAATCCAGGTGATGACGCCTTTAACCATCCTGTACACCAGTGTTTCCCAACCGGGGTACCACTAGTGGTCCATGAGTGCATTGCAAGGGGCACATGAAAATATTTTATTTCTTAAAGCTACACTGTGTAATAATTACAGGGATATACAGTCAGAAATGTAATATATTATACATAACTATGTTATTTTATCATCATCTACGAGCTCAGCCTCTTAACCTTAATATTTGCGTTGCCTTAGAATTCGTTATTTATAATTACATAGGAGCGGGTCTCGCAGCCATGGAGGCAGACATCTTTGCGCTATGGCAGCGCAGAGCCAACAAACTAGCGATTGCGAGATCGCCAAAACGTCACAACGATGTAGAAAAAATAACGGGTATATTTATTATCTTAAGTCTACATGAAATCTATACCCTACACAGACTAATGAAATACTATCTGTAAAATTATCTATGTAAACAAACCTCATCACTTGAGAAGGTAGGCGATGCGGACGTCGTGGAAGACATTTTGTCCCGTAATGCTCGCCGTACTGTTGGGGGGGAGAAGCGGTGGGGGGGAGATGTTCATGTTGCTGCAGTCTGCAGTCTGACCGCTAGATGTCGCTAAAAGTTACACACTGTAGCTTTAAGTAGTAAAATAAGATTAGGATGGGATCGGTTTTGCTGTGCTTTTGAGGAATTTATTAATTTGGTTTTTTTTTCACTAAATATTTGGAATCAGTCTGTAGAATAGGATGTAGGGAATTGAGCCATTTAAGTCTAACCTTTGTTTCATTGTTTATTCTCCCTGCCCCCCACAGACTTTAGATCAAAACCCCATTTACACTGAGGAGGAGTTGAGGGAGTACGAGCGGCAGCTGGCCACAGAAGAGAACAGCATCAACATGAAGGCAGTGGAGCTGCAGAAACAGAGGGAGGACCTGGAGAGAAAACAGGAAGAACTGAATGCTCAGAAGTTGGACTTAAAGCAGGTAAATTAAGGAACCTCTAGTTTTATATATGTGCTTAACAAAACTAAGATATAGGACTTTAACTTTTGCATAACTACAGATACACTAGCTGACACTGTGAGATCATATCTCAGCTGATCTGTGAATAAATTGCAGGATTAGTTATTATTAGAAACATAAATTGGCATCACTGTTTTAGTATATTTTAAGATTTTTTTTTCACACCTTCCCTCAAATTGTTTTAAAATACAGTTTTGGACCCTGAAATTAAAACACATTTTACTGTAGATGATGCATCAATAAAAATAAGGTAAAGCATTAATGGTTTTTTTTTTTCTTTCCCTCCTCTGCTCAGGCAATGGAAGAAGTGGAAAGGATTAAAACCCAAAGTTATAAAGATGAAGTGAAACGTAAGTATGACAATTAATAAAACTTTATGTGATGGTAAAATATAAATATTTAAAGCCACTGACTGAGTTAAAGGTCCAAGTTTTCCACCTTTGATCTTTAGTTTTTTAGCCTAAGTTATTTTTCAAAGAAGCCAGGTCATAATCTTTTATTTTATTACATTTTGATGAACTAAGCAGCAGTGTTGTTTTTGACAACCATCTTAGATTTAGTCTTAATCTTCAGGACGAAAACTGTTATCAGTCGCATTTTAGTCATTAAGGTATGTGATAGTTTTAGTTGACTAAAACTTAAAAGGGTTTTAGTCTAGTTTTATTCAGTTTTATGTTGAAAAAAAAAGTTAACCTTTACAATTTCAAGTAACAACCAGACTGTTTACCAGACTGACAGCTCTAGCCTAGATACTACAATAGCTGGGTATAGAATGCTGAATGCAGTTCATAATTGCTGTTGGGCAGAAAACTTTGATTCATAGAATGCAAATAACCTCTTTTATGAATTAATGCCCTACTTTATAAAAAAAGTGTCTCACAAAAGTTGTGAAAATAGCAGATGTAGTTTATCACATCATATTGCTTAATGTAGCAGATGGGTAAGCTAGCAAAATTTCCAATAAAGGAATGGTTTTAGACATACAAGGTTTTCATCCCAAAGCAAACACTTCCTGATCTAATTGGAATTATGCATTACACACATTAATAAAATATTCAATACTCCAAAAAAGCAAAGAACAAAACAATAATCTTTCTAACTTGGGCTTAATTTCAATTTGCCCCTTGGTTACTGCTGCACAGGGGTCAAAGTAAATTTAAATCCACAGGGTTTTGATATAAAAAAAAAAATACAGAGAAAACTTCCATAATTGCCTTGTAATGCCATTGAAATCCAGACCTAAATTGAATGAATACGGTAATTAAAGTTTTGACATATTTAAAGGAAACACAGAAAATGTTTTAATGAGAATACACAGAAACATTTACATCATATTTAAATATATAGGAACAAGAATAATGGGAGAGAAATTTTCTAAGATCAATGTACCTTTTCACCTGGCTCTTTATCCACAAATAAACAGAATTCAATCAAATATTTGCTTTGGATATAATTTAGGGATTCCTTTTGGTCAAAATTAAAGACTGTTTTGTATCACCTCTTGTGAGCTGGAAGAAATAAAATCTTGATGGTTAGATGAAGGTGTTTTTTACGCTTGGCAGAGGATGATCAGCCACATATAGTTTATTAAGAAGTGAGGGCAGGAAGAGCCATACTGCTTAGAGCGAACCATCAGTGTGGAGTGAGAAGTGCAGACTCAGAGCGGATTTCTGCACAAGCACAGCTGGTGAGAGTAGAGTTAGCAGTACCAGACCATTCCGGCTTATTTTCTCCCGTGCCGCTGCTACCATGATCCATCTGTGCTCATGCAGAATCTGCACCGCTGCACGGCAGGTGGGCAGCTTGACCAAACCGGACGCAGCAGCATTGCTGCTACTGCTTAACTTATCCAACAGATTACAGCGCAATTGACGAAAACTCACACCTATGACTCATCATATTTTTGTCATCAAAGTTCCATGTTGAGCTTTTCAGTTGTCGTTATCATCATGAAAAAAAGGAGCGTTAACAATGTAATTTCATCATCGTTGATGAACAACACAGCTCAGTAGTGCATCTTTATAAAAATGTAATTTTATTCCTTTTTTTCCCCCCATGAATAAAAATCAGAACTTAGATGTTCATCTGTATTAATCCCAATCTGAATCCATGCAGAAATGTCCCTTCTTAAGAATAGTATCCACACTGCCATGCAGCCACCATAATATTTCACAGTGATGATGGTGTGTAGAGATTATGCACAGTGTTCACTTTCTTCCATACATAGTATTTTGTATTGAGGCCAAGAAGTTATGTTTTGGTTTTACATGTTCCCTACCTGGCTGGTTGTAGCCTGTGAACACAAATTATTAAAAATTTATTTTCAAATGGCTTAAACTGCTTTTGCCCTTGCATAAACATAGCTCTGTGAGATGTTTAAAGATCTTGTCGTTATAGCCAAACCTGGCTCTAAACTTTATCCCAGACCCCATTTGCTGGGTTTCTCTGAGACCAGAAACAAAGCAGCTGCATTTAGAAAAGGGTCAAATTACATGCAGGGGGACATTATTTACCAGATGGTTAGCTTGAAAGGAAGTAGAATTTTAATTTAGGTATATCGTAGTAAAAAGTACTGTAAAACTGTAAACTTGTATTCATGAAAAATAGTGCATACACCCATCCTATTATCTTCCTCCATTTTGGGTGTAATTTAGGTCTGTGATTATGAACCAACAGAATATAAAGGTTTTTAAAAGAAAAAACCTGAATGTAACTCTTCAGTCTGAACAGACAGTGGTGCAAGTAAATCAACGTGAAAGGGTTTTATGTTGATCACTAGTATTTCAACTTGTAACTCCTGTTGCAGAGCCTGGGGGCCCGATAGCAGACGGTGGAACGGCACCAGTCGTACCAGGGAACAACCAACCACTGCCACCTGGTCACCAGCAACAGGAAGTACCGCTGCCTGGACACTCCTAGGCCCCCCATCACCATGCCTTCTAGGAGTGAAAGTCTCAGCATTTTCTTTTAGTGAACCAATTTTCTGGTTAGATTTCCAAAATTATCTCTGATGAAAGGAAAAGCAAAAGCAGCCAAAGCATTAGAAGCCCATGAAGGAAGCTGAATCAGGGCTCAGGTTTAGTGCCAGTGCCAACTTTCCCCTTTCCGGGGCCAAATCAGCTAAATGAGCCAGGCTTTTCTGCACGAACAATCGGTTATTTTGTTTCAGTTATTACAAACTTCCATCACAAAGAGAACTCTGAATCCTCTGTGGGAAAATCCCGGTGTTGAAGCACGGGATAAATTATTGTTTGGTTTTGTGGACTGAGGTTTGTTTATAAAATAAATCATCTACAGCTGAGACTGGACACATATTTTGTAATTAGAAGATAATCCTGAGAAAAGTGAATGTCAGTAAAACATTTTTTTTGGTTGAAGTTATGTCACTTACTTCCTGTTTTAAATGTACCCTTTTTAGTTTTGGATCCATGGTGTCCTCTGCACTGGATGATTGAAAAAAAAATCATCATTCCTGCGCTGTATATTTAATTTGAACATTTTAAACTGTGATTCAGTTCCATGTGTTTAGTATATCAATACTCAGTTTGTGTTTTGTTCATGATAATTAATTTATTCTCAAATCTACTGGAAAATAACCTGTAGAAGTTTAACAAGATAGGTGAGGACTGTGTGAGTTGACTCTCAGGGGACAGATTGTTCTTTTTATTTTTTTTTATCCTTAATTTAATTTTGATCATGGAAATAGTTCAGCTAAAATATAAGCCTGTTCACTCTGTTTTATTTTTCCAGTCAGAAGTCTCCTGTGGAATGGCATCATTCTGTACATTGTTTGACTGTTGCTAATTAAATGAATGATCTTGCAAGTGTAATAGTTGTATCTTTACAACACTTTACAAAAAATGCTCTAAACCTAGAGCCCTAAAAGTAGATTGGTGCATTATCAGTGAATACAATGGATTTGAGAAGAAACACTTTTTAGGAGCACTGGGGGATCATCGTTATTGGCACCCCAAGGTAAGTTTAATTGTATAGCACAATTCAGTACAGGGACAATTTAAAGTGTTTTACATGAGTTGGACAATAGAATAGAAGACAATAAGAGTAAAAGAAAACTAGAAAATTCCCCAAGGAAATTGGTGCATAGTTGTTATATTGCAGTGAAGGCTATATGGGTTAATTGATTATTAATGCGTCTTGAAGGACTGTTTTATTCTAATTATTTAAATCTAATTGTATATATTTTGTCCTCTTTGCTATCGGGCAGGTGAATTTACTATATTGGAGATTAATAATTGAACTTTATTGATCTCACATAGGAGAAATTTACCTCTGCATTTAACCCATTCCCTTGGGGAGCAGTGGGATGCCATCATGGGGCTCCCAGGGAGCTGTGTTGGGTTAAGGGTTTTGCTCAGAGGCCCAGAGTGGCAGTCTGTGGGTTTCGAACTCAGACCCTCTGCATTCAAAGCTCTATGCCCTAGCCACTAGACTGCCATGTATGTATGTATCTGTCTGTTTATCCTCTTTTTTTTTTTTTTTCTTTTTAAGGAAATTTTGAATTTTCAGTGTTTTGTTTTTCAGTTTTTACATTTTCAATGCCAAATCTCTTATTTGATGTCAATGCAAGCTGTCACTGATTTAGCTCCATAAGAACACATCCTCCCACCTTGGCCTGCTGAAGAAATATGACCTGCCGAGGAGAAACATGGCTTTGCTCTGCTGCCTTCACCTGCAGCAAGACCAGCTCCACCAAGGGTCCTTCCCCTCACCACCAGTCATTTACTCAGAGGAGAGGCACAGTTCTCTACAGTAGGTTGAGGGTTGACTGGGGTACTGTTAAAATTCAACAAGCTGTTCTGGAGCACTTAATCTGCTCCTCAGGTTGCTGGAAGGAAGATGATGAGCTGATGATGGAGGCTGCCTCTGCGGCAGAGCAGCAGCTGTCTACTCCTGGTAGGTTGCCGTTACGTGCAGTCAGCGTCCGAAATTAATTTTTTGATTCACCGACCAAGTGGATCATAAGATAAGATTATTTACCTGTCAAGCTTATTTTACCCAGCCAGAAAAAAAAAAAAAAAAAAAAAACATGCTCTCATACATTTTAAAGGAAAATTATATTTCACTAAAGCATTATGTTAAATGGAAACAAAGTGAAAGAGAATGTAATTATATCCAATACATTTGTAATTAAGAGCTTCATTCAATAAGGGGCAAAATGATTTTATTTGACGAGTGGACATGAATAAAATCTTTCAAAAAGCTGCAAACTATTTTACGGAAGAGGATTAGGGCCACTGAAAAAAATAAAATAAAAAGTTGACTGATTTTTACATTTTATTTCAGTTTGATGTGGGGAAAAAAGTCAGAAATCTGACTTTTCTATCTATAAACATACATACATAATTTATGGATTTGTATTAATCAACCTGTTTCTGATAAGTCATCCAAAATGTTTCATTGTGAATAAGTAGTCTGAGCGGTTCAAACAAAATTAACAATATTGTAATCTTTTTTTTCTTTTTTTTTTAGCTCTGAATCTACCGTGGTAGAGTTTGAACTTCTGAGAAAATATGTTGTTATTGTTTTGAGGACGCCACATTATTTGGTTTGCATGCAGAACAACTTTAAATCATTCACGTTTTTCAAGTTACTGGCAATAGAGTATGGTTTTGTCTACTTTTTACTATTGGTCTAAATTGTTTGCTTCACTGGTACAAGTAGAATGACAAAAAGCAACTCAGCACAAAACGTTGATTGCGAGGAAATGTTTGTCATTTCAGAGTTAGGAGATAATATTATCTTGCCCATCTGTGGAAAATCTGTTAAAATAAAAGGAGGGCATAATAGGATATGTGTGATCGAACCCGCGGCCGACGTCGTTTTAATTAGCAAAGCGTCTGCTTACCTGCTGAACTATTGATACAAACACTCCATCTGACCCCACCTGCGATCATCAACCTGTTGAGTGTGTCTGCTTTGCCTGTTGAAGAGCTGGTCTAGATCAACTGGTGACAGTTAATGTTTCAGAGTCCGCTGTTCACTTAAACCATGTTTGAATTCCAGAATATCAGATATTACTATTTTTTCCTTCTTTACTCTTAGAACAGAATGGAGCCTCCCTGTTAAGAGATAGTTAGACAGCAGGTTATGCTATGCTATTAAAAGAAAAAATAATAACCAGATCTTTTTTTTTTTCGATCAGATATCTACCGTAAAATCTCCCTGTTTTATTTATTCATTGTTTGGCAGCAGTTAGCCTGAAGGCTGTGCTGCTTATTTTAATGCTTTAGTACAGCAGGTTCTGCATTTGTTCGCCCCAATGCTGAATTCAGAGATTTCACTCTTCCCCGCAGCAGTTATGTTATTTTGCTTTGTTCCTGCAACACATCTTAAACTTTAAAGACATTTACAACTCCTCTGGAAACGAGTTGGACTGTAAGTGATTAGTTTCCCTCCATATAAACAGTCAGCGCTTTTGAGAAAAAAAAGAGGAACATTTTATTTTCGCTCGTTTTAATTGACAAGACATACAGGACGACAGAAAAATGCAGAAAAATACACCGTTAGATGTTGCCATTGACCTTTTATTGCACAGGCTGTTTTTACTTCTCATACAGCTTTCTGTGGTTTTTCTACTCGGTTCTTTCTCTCATCGCTGAGGCTCTGAAACAAACAGATAAACAACAACAGGACAAGTTCCTCAAATCTCTGTGTGCGGGTTTGGAGAAATCCCTAAAACTGTTGACATTATGAATGTTTTTGTGCTCTCATTTGTTGTTGTTTTGATCATTATTGGATGATTGTTTGTCACATCACGTGACCTGTCTAATTTAACACACTCGTGTATAATAAAGGGTGTGTCCTTCAAAGGAGGAACAACACAGAAACTGACTGAGTCTCATGCTGTCACGTTGAACGCTGCGCCGAAAAGTTGATTCTGCTAACAGGTTATGGGCCCAGAATGTCCAGAATCAATGCAGAAACTGTTGAATGTCCAGACAGACAGTGAGCACCTGCTTTGTAAGTAAACAAGGAAAATGAACAGAAGAGAAAAAGAAATGGCACACAGCCGCTGGTCAAGACTTCTCTTTGATGGAGACGAGAAAAATTATGAACTATGGGAAACAAAGTTTTTAGGACATCTTCAATTGCAAGGGCTGAAACAGAAAATTTTGACAAGCCCCTCCGATGATGACAATGAAGAGGAAGATGCGACGAAAAACGCTGAGGCTTATGCAGAGCTCATTCAGTTTTTGGATGACAAAAGTCTATCACTTATCATGCATGACGCAGCGCCAAAGAGTTTGCATTCCGGGTGAGCGACGCTGACATGCGAATGGACGGCATCAAGAGGAGAGGTCTGATGGTGGACGCTGGTGCGACATCGCACATAATCACTGACATCAGGAAGTTTCGGAGGCTTGATGAAAGTTTCCAGGCCGAGACGCACTGCGTGGAATTGGCTGATGGATCCAGGTGTTTTGGGGTTGCTAAGCAACGAGGAGACGCGGAAGTGTGTTTGATCGACAGCAGAGGTCGACGTCTTAAAACAGTGCTGAGGAATGCATTGTACATCCCTTCATACCCGCAAGACATCTTCTCAGTGAAAGCTGCAACATCCACCGGGGCAACAGTGGTCTTCAAAGAAGGAAAGAACGTTCTTCTCAGAGACGGAACCAAGTTCCCCATTCACGTATGTAACAAACTGTATTACTTACAAACAATGGACAATGAATGTGGTGATCAGTGTAAAAAATGTTATGACTTACAAAGTTGGCATGAGATTCTTGGACATTGCAATTACAGAGATGTACTGAAGCTAGAAAATGTTGTTCAGGGCATGGAAATTAAAGGGAGAGGTGACCCAATGTCATATTGTGAAGTCTGCACAAAAGGAAAATTTGTTCAAACTAGGAACAAGGAGCCAGATGCAAGAGCTAAAGAACCATTAGCAATGGTCCACACAGATTTAGCAGGACCTATAGACCCAATGTCCAATGATGGTCACAGATATGCATTATCCTTTACAGATGATTATTCCAGTGCAGTCTTTGTATATTTTTTGAAAAACAAGAGTGACTCAGTACAAGCAACTGAAAAGTTTATTGCTGACATGGCCCCACATGGAAAGATTAAATGTATGAGGTCAGACAATGGTACAGAATTCACAGGAAAAGATTACCAGGCATTACTGAGCAGAAATGGTATCAGACATGAGACATCAGCACCATATTCTCCACATCAAAATGGTATGGCAGAACGAAACTGGAGAACTCTATTTGACATGGCTAGATGTATGTTAATCGATGGTGAGTTACCGAAAATGTTATGGCCATATGCAGTTCAGATAGCTGCTGCAGTGCGAAACAGATGTTTTAATAATCGCACAAAGCAAACGCCTTATTTCATGTTGACGGGCAGAAAACCTAACATTTCTAGGATGCACGAGTTTGGATGTGTTTGTTACACTTACAAACGAGAGAAAGGGAAGCTGGATTCAAGGTGTGAAAAAGGCATTTTTATAGGGTATGACAAGAATAGTCCAGCCTATATGGTCTACTATCCAAACAGCAGGAAAGTCCAGAAACACAGGCTTGTGGAATTTGTAACCAAAAAGAAAAATGAGATGGATGTAACTTTGGATGATGATGATGATATGTTTAGAATTTGTCCCAGAGCAACCAAAGCTTCAAATGCTGATCCAGTAAATGTTTCTGATCATAAACTGAAAACAGAAGAACCACCAATGGCGAGTACCAGTCAAACAACAAAACAAGAAGAACCTGAGAAGCGATACCCTGTCAGAGAGAGAAAGAAACCCGGTTATTTAGATGACTATGTATGTAGTATTGATGAAAAGGAGATAGCCAACATTGATTATTGTTACTGACTGATAAGTGGAGTACCTCAAACCTACAAAGAAGCTGTAACATCTGTGAATGCAAAAGAGTGGGTTACAGCAATGGATGAGGAAATGGAGTCATTAAAGGACAATGTTACTTTTTCCCTGACCAACTTACCTGTAGGTAAAGCTGTAGTGGGGGGTAAATGGGTGTATGCAATTAAAAGGAATAGTGATGGATCAGACAAATATAAGGCTAGATATGTTGCTAAAGGATTCAGTCAAAAGAAAGGTGTGAACTATGATGAAACCTTCTCACCAACTGCTAGCATGACGAGCATCAGTCAGCATCAGCATCAGAGTGTTGATGCAAAAGGTGGCACAGGAGAACATGTTTGTTCACCAGATGGATGTAAAGACAGCATATTTACATGCCCCAATTGAGTGTGAACTTTATATTGAACAACCAGAGGGCTACAAGAAGGAATCTCAAGAAAATGAAAGACTGGTGTATAAACTGCAAAAATCTCTTTATGGACTTAAACAGTCGGGCAGAAACTGGAACAAAATGTTGCATGACTACCTATGTGAAATCAAGTTTGTTCAAAACCCTGCTGATCATTGTGTTTACACAAAGATTACTGATACTGAAACTGTGTTTATCATTATATGGGTTGATGATTTGCTTATTGCTGCCAGTGATACAAATATCCTTAGAGATGTAAAAGAGAAACTTGCATCCAAATTTAGGATGAAGGACTTGGGAAAGTTGACACATTTTCTTGGCATTGACTTTGAGAGAGATGTTGACAGTATTAAAATGTCAAAGTATGTGAGGAAAATACTGGAAAAGTTCAATATGGAGAACTGTAAGCCACGAACTACCCCTTGTGAGCAGAAACTTAACTATGCTGATAATGCAGAATTAATGAGTGATGTCAGAAAATACAGGGAGGCAGTAGGAAGCTTAATCTATTTGTCAACATGTACAAGACCAGATTTAAGCTATGTAGTAAGTAAACTGGTACAGTACTTTGCAAACCCAACCACAGAGCAGTGGAATACTGTAAAGCATGTTTTCTGGTATCTAAAAGGCACACAAGATAAAGAACTATGTTTTAAAAAGGGTGCCTGTGATGACCTTATATATGCATACAGTGATGCTGATTGGGCAGGTGATGTATCAGATCGAAGAAGTACAACTGGTTATTGTATGAGTCTAAATAAAGATGGTCCGTTAGTCTCATGGAAAACCAAAAGACAACCCACAGTAGCTCTATCTACATGTGAGGCAGAGTACATGGTACTAGCTGCTACTCTACAGGAATGCTTATACCTGAAACAACTGTTGTTCAACATGGATGGTTTGGATTATTTGGCTAAGATTTATGAGGACAATCAGGGTACCATATCCTTAGCCAAAAATCCTGTGTATAGACAAAGATGTAAACATATTGATATTAAATATCATTTTGTCAGATCAGTTGTAAATGAAGGAAAAGTCTTTCTAGAGTACTGTCCAACTAATGAAATGGTTGCAGATGTACTAACTAAACCAGCAACAAAACTTAAGTTGAGGAAGTATGAAATGTTTATGTTCGGTGTATCATGAATGTATTTTGGTTGAAGTATTAAGAGTTAGAGGAAGTTACCCAAATATGAGCAAGTGGGGGTGTTGACATTATGAATGTTTTTGTGCTCTCATTTGTTGTTGTTTTTTTTTATTTGTTTTTATTGAACTTTTTTGCAAAGCAGGGAAACATCAAATATTAAACAGTCTACAAACATTTGAGAGGGATGTACACATATATAAGAATAATAAAAAATAAATAAAAAAAAATAAAAAAAAATAATAATAATAAAAAATAAATAAATAAATAAATAAATAACAGGTGCCCAAAAGCAGAAAAACAAATAAACATAACACTACGAATTGTCCTCTTGTTGCCAGGCTAAGTCAATTAAACCCAGTCTCAATCTCTGAGCTACAGACGCATCCAAAGAGTCCAAAAAAGGGTCCCATGTCCGGTGAAAAAGAAATGGTTTGTTTTTCAACGCTGTAGAGAAGGCTTCCATTGGAATGATACTTATTATAGTCTGTGTCCACTGGCTTATGGATGGAACTCTATCAGAAATCCACAACACCATAATACACTTTCGAGCGCAGTGTAACAATATATGTAGAAGATCCCTGTTACCAAAGTTATCTGGCAGCTCAACATTCAGACCCAGTAGACACGTTCTTGCACCCAATTGCAGTTGGTACTTAAATATTAAACGTAACTTGTCTATAACAGATTCCCAGAATTGCAGAATATGAGGACAACTCCACAGGCAATGAAACAAAGAACCAACAGCAGACTGACATTTGTTACAAAGGTTTGATAACGCTGGAAACATTCTATGTCTCTTCTCAGGTGTGATATATATTCTATGTAGAATTTTAAATTGTCTCTCCCAAGTAGAATTCGATGCTAACGCCTTGAAGGGTCGGCTACACAACTCAACCCAGGCCACATCCTCTATAGGGCCTAAATCCACTTCCCACAGGCCCTTAACTTTGTTAGAGTTATCAGTTTTAAGATCACCTAAGGTATCATAAATCTTTTTAGTTATACCCTTAAGCTGCGTGGTCTTTAACATCAGCGATTCAATAGGAGAGACAGCCAATCCCCCACTATACTTTCTCAATTTAGAACTGATGAAGCTTTTTACTTGGAGGTACTTCAAGAAATCCTTATTAGTAAGACCATACTTAACTCTCATCTGATTAAATTTAAGAAGTGAGCCCTCATGAACCAGGTCACCAACCTTTTTAATC